TGCTCATGTTTATATTCAAGATATTTTTGCTTCTGTTTTCTTCCGTGAGTTTTATGGTTTCATGACTTACATTCAGGTCTTTGATCCACTTCAAATTTACTTTTGTTTATGAAGTTAGTTGTGTTCTTTAATATATGTTTATACCCAATATCATAGGGCAAGAAAAGAACAGGATAAAGGGAAGGAGAGAAAAATTTTCAAGGGCAGAGATAATAATATTTTATATAATCAAATCTGAAGACCTAGTTTCCAAGCATATTAACATTGATCAGCTATGCTTTTTATGTATATCAAGCCAGCTAAAGGCTGATTTCTACTGTATTCCTATTCCAATTCTTAGTTCTTCTAGTTAAAATGTGTGCTTAGTAAAAGAGCTATAAGAAATAAGATAAATGGGAGAACTCTTCAGGAAGAAACTAGGTTCCTTGGGGTGATGAAAGGTGGTCAAGAGCCCAGAAGATCCTAATATTCAATGTACTTGAAATATATTCAGAAAAGTGTGGGAATGGAGAAAGGAATGAAGCATAAAAGGAAAGAAAGAAGGAAGTGAAAGAGGGATGGAGACAAGAGGGAGAGAGAGAAGGAAGCTAGGAATCAAGATTGAAAAAAACAATCTTCTTATCTGGGTTTTTCTTCAGTATTTACCATATTATTTCATTTTAAAGGTTTATAAGAAAATGTGAAGCTTAAGGAACATTATAAAGCATTAGCACATGTTGCAGTATAATCAAATGCCCTTATCAATTGCATTATAATAAACTCTTATCAGCTCTTTAACCATGGCCACTTTTAGGTCTTCACTCACTTACAAGCAGCTATTGCTTTTCTCAGATGCTTTTCTAAAAATACCCGAGCAAAAAGTGCTCCACCTTTAAGGAAATTCATAGGAAGGACGTGTGACAAGTGCAGGTTTCTGAGAACCTTAAGATCATAAGACTGAAGTGGGAAAGAATTTCTGGAACTAGTGGAAAACTGGACTCAAGCAGAAATAAAAGCACGGCACTCAGTGAACTGAGGAGGTTGATTGTAACTTTTCTTACTCTTGTTTAAGACATGGCTGCTTCTGAATGTTTGCTTTTCAGAATTAAGGAAACATTTTATCTTAATTATATGTCTTACTGCAATTTTTAAAAATATACCTTTGTAAACAAATATGAAACATTTATCTCCCTGCCTGATGCCTCCAGAATTCAGAAACTCCCAGGGAGTATTCTTATTTTCGCGACAACATAGTTATTTGCGTAAGTTACCAAGCACCTGTTCTCCTTGCAACAGCACCACTAGAAACATTGGTTATATTTCCAATATAGAATATATATATTCTGAGGAGGTAGGGTTGACTTTCTGGAGCCAATGAAGCCCTTTGGAAAAAGTGGCATGGAACTTTGCTCACAGAGTTCCCAGCAGCCTTAGCTGACACTGACACAAGAGCTCCCCCAGAAAGCAGGACATGTCCGCTGCCCCATGCTTCTCTCAGATGTTCTCTCAGCTCCTGGCAAGCTATTTCCAGTCCTGCCTCCTGCCAAGACCCACTACCTTCAATGTGGGACTAGGGGGACCCGGGGCAGCTGGCCCAGCACTCTGGCCTCTACAGGAGACTTCAGGAGAGAGCATCGTTCCAGCTGAACCAATCAAGGATGTCACCTACATCTGATCATTGATCAAGTGGGGGAAATAGGGCTCCCATGACTATTGCCATGACAGGTCCTGCAGCATGGAAACAGCAGGTGCAGAGCTCTCTGACAGAGGGCTGTGCTCTCACCACTCAGGGAAATGACCCTTATTTATGAAGGGATTTTGGAAAGTCCCCAAGGGCTTGTGAAGTTGTGGATTTTGCTATAAGGCTGACCAATTAGAGACTAGAACCCTGTTCACCCATCTGTTGCTCTTTTTTCTTTTTTAACCCTCCCTCCTAGACCCCCAGGGGGTCACACTTTTTAGGGTTACACTGGATCATATCTTGCAAACCTGCCAAGTAAAGCCCTCCTTTCTTCCTACTTCCTAGACAGTCTGTTATCTTTCAGGTAAGAAGTTAAACATTGTCTAGCAGTATTTTAGAAGCTTTAGAGATAGGAAGTGCAGTTGCTGATTTAAAAAAAGGCTTATTTCATAGTTAGCCTTATAGATTGGATAGTAAACCCTGATATTATACATAGTTCATACGACTAGAGATTCTTTGGCTGGAAAAACTTATTTTATCAAATAGGCAAAATAGTTCATTGCATGCAGAGCATTCATGATTTTGCCCCACAGTTAGTGCGGTTTAACTACAGATTGTTGGAAACCAGAGCAAAGACAAAAAATAGTAATAACACACTGGGAAAAAAAGCTGAAAGTTATTTCTATAACTAACAAGGTAAATAATCTTACAAGATAAATACAAGCAAATTATAAGCCACAAAAGAAGTGCAATAGAAAACGTTTAATATTTAACTCTTATTTATGGGGGTTTTTGTTTTTATTATATTTTCCTGCCCATTTCCTTCTATACAGCTGTCTTTTCTTTGTTCATCGAAGTCTAATGTATTTCCCAGGAAAGTTCTTTGAACAATAGCATCCGTCTTCATTCTAAGTGTGCAAGACAACCAAGCCCTTACCTTTTGCCACAGCCCCATGGAACTCTAAATTCGGAGGAAATAAAGTCGTCGTAGAACCTAGTTAAATTACTTTGGCCCTATTTGAAAAGCAACAGCGCAAATTCTCACGTTTTTTGCCTCTCAGTTTGAGTCCAGGATTTCCCTTTATATTTTTTCAGCGTGGTTAGTCCTGCCAGCAAACTTGTGAGAGTAGTTCAGCAAAAACATTTTTCTTTTCCAAATCATCAAGTGTAAATGAGTCAGGAGCCTGCACAGCGTAGTAGCAAGAGTGCAGGCTTAGGAATGACACGGACATAGGTTTAAATTCCATACCACGAAGTCTTTCTGAGTCTCATTTCCTTCATTTTGTAATTGGAGAAGTATTGCCTACTCTGAAGCTTTGTTATAAGGATTAAACATAATGTACCTAAAGCTCCTGACACATGGTAAGTGAATAATAAATAATATCACTTATATTGTAAATTCTAACCCCTCACAAGTTCAATTCTGTTTAACTCCTGGCCAAAACAAAACACATTCATCTGATCTACCGATATACTGTACCTATATTGCATTTGGGTCATGCTGTTAAGAATGCATGTATTTATGTGGGCAATACAAATCTGAGTTTATTATAATTATAAATAGTTTTTTATTGGGTTTTGGAGATAGTCATACCAAATACTCTGTAACTAACTATACAAATGACCTGAATGTTATGGATACTAAAGCAGTTGGCTTCAAATACAGAAAATATTTACAGACCTTAAAACTATGTGCAGAACAATTTGTTAAATAATGTTAGATGGTGGTCCCGACATTCAGTAATTGGGAGAGAAAACATTTTTACGTCCAATATTTCAGAGTTCTGCAAATCCCTATCTGGAAGGTAACCATCCTGTGTGGATAACAGGACAGATGTAATGCTATGGTAATCACGGACACTTAGTGCTTGTAAAGGACCGTGAAATGAGGGTAAAAATGAAGATTATTTCTTAGTTGATCTTGCAGCTCCCCCTAACAATAAAGCCAATTGTTTTCCACAAGTTATATAACAGTTGTTAAAGATAAAGCCGGATACCTGTTAAAGGTGATCAAGACAGATTTTATTTAGTGGTAACTACTGAAATAGGGAAGACTCTAGACTCTGGTGTAAACAGATCTACTTGGATTTGTGTAGAGGTGACTATGTTAAAAAGAGTGCGACTGTAGGGAGAGTCAGTGAGCAGACGCAGGGGAGGAAAAAGTATTAAAAGTGGGTAAAAGGTCAATGTCGATGCCCTTCGGCCGCCTGCGTCTGCTAACAAGTGTTCATTAAAGTCGGGTCCTACCTCCCTCAGAGCCTGGCAGACAGCCGCCCAGTCCTTCCTGACAATTGCATTTCAAAGGAATGGCTTTCAAGTCCTTGGAGAAGAATCGGATTCTAGGGGATATGTATACATCTCAAAGGGACAGAGGAAGAATTTACAGTAGTAAGTGTGTTTGTTTTTATTAAGTGCTGGAAGATAGGGAGGGCAGGCGTCTGTCTTCGGTGTTGGCTGGAACAAACGGTCAGTTCTGCTGGTAGCCTCGAGCTTTTCCAGACAGGACCTCAGGCAGGGCTGGGCCATCCCACAGCACGGCCTTAGGCTTCTAGAAGCCCGGTTACATTGGCCAAGGAAGAACCTCGGCTTATCTGACCACGACAGGGCAGCTCCATCGGCTAGAGGCAGACCCGTTAAGCAAAGGCCCCCTTCAGTTCGTCCTCGCCGGGCTGCTTCACTCCGTCTGTGTCACGGCGACACACGGCCCCCCTCGCAAGCTGCCTAACAGATCCAAGCTGCAATTTACAGAAAAGAATAAGCCAGAAACAGTGGCTCCAGCACAGCAGTGCCAAAACCATCCAGCCGTCCCTGGAAAAAACAAAAATAAAAACTTCTCAATAGGTCATTTGTTGATGGAATAAAGTCTGATTTTGTGTAAATAATTCTGCTGCTGCTCTGGGGCACCCAGACGGACGTGCGCATAACCCCTGCCTTCCAAAGCCTGAAGTTCAGCATGGGGGTCTCACAGGCAAGCTTCACTGTGCAGGCTGTGGAGGCCCCAAGCCAGCCAGCAGCTCGCATGGCGTGGGGCACAGGCCACACAGCCATTCCCACCCTCGTCAGCAAGACTTCCACAGCCCGTCCCCTGTGGGGGGACACAGCCTGATGCCCCGAACGGAACACGGAGAGAGTGCTTCTTGCGCCCTTGACGGAATTCACTGGAAGAATGAGTGACAATTCTGTTCTGCGCCTCCTGTCACACATACTTAGCACCAGAATGTGTCCAGGCTGCTCTTCTGAGACGCTAACCAGATGTATCCTTGACGTACACTGTGATGTCTTGGTTAACCATTAATGTAACCTCTCCCCTGCACGTATCTGCTGCTGTAAAAGGTACAAAAGTTGTTTCCAGACAAAGAGCTTCAGAGCAATTGACTCAAACTCTGCTGGGTGGTGGACCTCAGGAAAATGAATGTATCTTTCTTAATACAACAGGCCTGCTGATCTCAGTGGGTACGTCCAAGAATGTTTACAGATAACTTGACTATGCAGCGGTAGAGGACACATGCCTTTTAAATGAAAATGGCTTGTGGTATGAAGTCCCAGGGCAGACCTGAATAATCAAGTAAGGAAGACATCATGATAGAGGTTGAGTAAGCCTCGAAGGAGTGATCAGAATTCAATAGTGAGAGAAAAGAAGCGCTGTCATTACAATGAGTGGACGTATCTTCAAGTGAGAGGAAATGGCAAACATTGTCTAGATCAGAGAATTCAGACACATTCATCTTTGTTAATGAGTTAACTATTTTACAATTTACAGTTAAACATTGGCCTTCACTGTCAGCTACATTTGGGAACTACATGAAATCAGATATTGATCCATCACAGAGATTTTTAAGAAGCCAATGCAAATTGGGAAGAATCCTAGCGATTATCAACTCCAACATCTGACATTTTCAGGTCAGTAAGTGGAGGACCGTGTGAATGTGCCCATGTGTTTGGCTGTGGTTGGTAGAGCCTGTGTGGAAGCCGCGGTCTCCTCACCTTCTCAAGACCACATTACTCTTTACTAACATATTTCACTTTAGGCCTAGTCAATGGTAATCCAGAGGGAAATATTGAAATGACATTGAGAATGACTAGCTTGGGGAAACTGAAGCCATGGATTGACATGGAAACACTAGACCAGGAAGAGCAGGTGGGAGAAGGCAGCTAACTCCATAGAGGGCACATCCGTGTGCTGCCTGAAGAACGGAAGTGCATATGCCTACTTGTCTGTAGGACTTATGAATCTGAAGCTTGAAAGAAGTGGAAATTGAAGGTATAGATTGAAGAACAGTCAGCTTGTAGATGTTCTATGTAAGAGGGGGAGGGGTCCTTCCAAATCCACATTTTTTTCTCATTAAGATAACATAAATTTGGTGCACAATATATGGGTTGGAAAACATCATGAAAATAATTTCAGCATGCCAACAAGCTGGCTTTTAAAACCAAGATTAAGTTCAATGATGATTGAAAAGCATCAATAGAATAAGTGAGTTCAGATCAATATTCAGAATAAAGTCTTCGTAAGGCTCCCATGAAATATGGCTTCCTGCAACCCCTGACATGTCACAGTACCTTTCTATTTTAAGTTTAAGTCCTCTAGCTCATCATTTTAAAGAAAGCAGGTTAGGGACTGACTTCTATAAGTATGCATTAAATTCCTAGTGTGCAGCAGGTAATGGAGACACAAAGATGAAAATTATAGCACCTGCCTGTAACTCTTTGTATTTTGCAATGAGTTTTACTGAGTGCCACCTAGTTTCCAGACACTGTCCGGGCACTGATGTCATGAGATAAACAAGAAAAACCCTACGGCAAATATTCTAGTAGGTTTTTAGTCTCGGCGATTTCATGTGTCAGCATAGGAAGACAGGTGCTCCTACGTAATCTAAGTTATTATGGCAACAGCAATAATTAATTAGGCAATTGGACAGTCCGGGTGAAACAGCCCTTCTACTTTAAAAAGCATATTGCTTGGTGATCTGAGCATTTGTGTCCTTCAAAAACAGAAAGCAAGTTGTTGTTGAGTCAGTGTTACATAAGGCTGACAAATTCTTAGTAAACATTCATGTACTCCCAGAACACAGGAAAACCATTCTTTGGTTTGCCTTTGGAAATATCCTGCCTTAATTTTCAATATTCTATCTGTAGTCACTTATCATTTACAAACTAGATTTTTATCTTCCTCTTGAAATATGAGTTACTTTCAAATTGTAGTAGCAGCTCAATTTTCTAAATTTGATCATGTAGAAATCTTCCCTATTTTATGCAAAATCTTGTTATCTGTGGGGTATTTCCTCTTGTAGTCTCTGAAGTTTGTTTCCAGTACCAAAGTCTTTTCAGACCATTCATTTAATCTTTTGACATCACAGTGGGACAAAAGATTTTCAGTGGGGAAAAAAAAAACATCACTGCTCTAAAATACTGATATTTAGTATCTAATCATAACGACCTATAGTCTTCTCCCTTTTTCTTAAAGTCTAACGGGGTCAAACCTAATTCTTCTCCCAGAAAATGTAAGATAAGCTGTGTTGCATTAACTTGAGATGACAGCCAATGGAAAAACAGGAAATAAGATATGCAAAGAGTATTTAAAAGAATAAATACTAAAAATAATATTAAAATTAAAAAAAAAAAGCCTTCCACTTTATACAACCTCTCTTGGCCAGTGTCAAGAGTACAAAATAGTAATGAATCCAGAGGGATGGGAAAGGAGGTGGGCATGGTTCCCCGGCCAGGTGATGTCTCTGTAACCAGGCCAGTGGGGTGGGGTCCCCTGACTGTGGCCACGCTGGGCCCAGCACTGTCCCAGCACGAGGACTCCTCACGACGCGGGGGGAAAAGAGGCTGCTCCATGGCGGGGGCCTGGGCTGCGTCCCACCCCAGACCACAGCTACTCGGTGGTAAACATCAGCACAGATCAACAAGACGTAGCTGTGGTTGCCTCTGGCTGTGATGGGGGTGGAAACTCCCTGAGAAGAGGAATGGGGGAGTTTTCCAGCAATAGGAATGTATCCTACTTGTAAGCATTGGTCAAAACTCATGAAATTGCATGCTTTTATGTTTTGGGAATTTCTTCTCTTGAAGAAATGGGCGGGAAAGGGCAGTAAGTGTTCAGTGTAGAATTTGCATCCTCACAGTTGTCCGTAGAATGGAAATCTTTTGATTACGCCCTTGGCCTCGTCTCCTGCGTGCTTTACGTGCAGCAGGCGCTCGTACCAGCCTGTGTTCCATCACGGGAGTTACAATACTCTGGTTGGAATAGTTAAAGAACGTCAGCCGAGATCACCCAACCTGCGACAGCAAAATGAGTTTTCCCTAAAATCTAGTCTCATTTCATGCTTGCAGGCCGTGACTACTAAAAGCAATCAGGTGGAGCCCCGAGTTACTCAGAGAGCTACTCTTATTCCCCACACGTCTGTCATCCACGGGGCGAGGACCGGAGGAGCTGGGACAGGGCCCAGAATTCCATTACCCGCTTCAGCTTGCTTAGCACTTGTTTGATACTAAATGCTCTGAACTCGTTCCTGATGAACAATGGTGCACAGTACAAACCAAACTAATTGGCAGAGAAAGGTAAGAAAGCACCCCCCGCCCCCACAACCCCGCCAACAAATAAAGGGCCTAAGGCATTGAGGTCTTTTAACTACACTGCCCGAGCGATTCGGGAAGGGAAGGAATGAAGCCAGTCTCCTGGGTTGAACAGTCCTATCATATCATCGTTTCTTGAGAACTTGGCGCTACTTTATGAAAAACTCAATGTCTAGAGTTGGAACTTGTTTTAGTAGGTAATAATGTTCATGTATTTTTTAAAGATATAATTGCACTGTCTCCCAGGAATGGACTGCTTCTGTTTTCTTATATCAAATAGCTTAAGAGAGAAATCTGGGGTTGCCCAGGGCTTTGCCGTATTTTAAGGGAGGCCCTGTGACAGGAAGAAGCCTCGAGGGGCAGTGGCATGTGGTTGGGTAAGTGGCTTAAGTCTGGGTCCCCAGACAGATGCTGAGATGAGGATGCATTCTCAAGTCATCTTCAAGGAAGGACTCCCGGGAACATGGGTACATCACACCTCAGAGGGACTCCGGCCAGAAGTAAGGGGGCGCCCTCCACACTCTGCCACCCAGCATGATTGTTGAACAGCTGTCAGGGTGCAGGGTAGTTGACTAACCAGCTCCAGTGGCTGCAGGGCAGCTCTCTGTACAGGGGCCACCACCAGAGGCGCTTCTCAGGGTACATCCCCACCCCACAGAAGAAACAGAGAAGGTGATCCAAGCGACCAGGGTGGAACCAGCATCCTCACTAATCCAGGGCATCTGCCACAGAGACTGGCCACGAAAGGGGTGACTAAGATGATAAATGCTCAGCAATTAAGCAAACGTTTATTCTTAAGCAGTATTACAGCACTCACCCCACTAAACAAAGAACACATTTTACACATGTATATGTGTGTGTATATTAATACATAGAGACCCACCTATTGCTCTTTAATGATTGGAAAATATTCTATAACATGTACTGATTAAACTTTACCCATTCACCCAGTGATGGACATTTTTATTTATTGTTTTAATTATTCTTTGAACACACTGTGTTCAATAAATATCTTTTACATATGTATTGGTAAGTGTCTCCACACATGTGCACAGGAAAAATTGCTAATAAAGAGATTGCTGGATGAAAGGGAATGTATGTTTTTATTTTTGTAACTATTGCCAAATTGCTCCCAGAACTATTGTACCACTTCAGTCTCCCATCATCAATGTATGAGAATATTCACTAACATCCTCACCAAGATTTTCCATTAAATAGATCATCAACCGCTATAGTTTTGGCCTTCCTGAAAGTAAAAGAATAAATTGTTTTCATTTACATTTATTTTTATTTTGCTCAATTCTTATGTCTTCTCTCGAAATAAACCATTTTAGCCTCTGTAATTTCATAATGCATTTTAATTTCTGGTAGAGCTAGGACCTACTCATTACTTTTCTGCCTCAAAAATTTTCTGGGCATTTTCATATGTTTATGTATCCAGAGAAAAACTTTGTATAATTTTGATAATTGATCTATACAATCTTGTCCCCATGTTAATTACATCTTTAATCAATAGGTTAATTTATGGGAAATTAACACATACTAAGCTGTCCTTTTGAAGAACACAGTATCTTTCCACTTACTAAAGTATTTTTCAGTTTTTCAATTTTACAACTTTCTGTAGAGTTTTCATGTTTATTCACAGCCATGCCCATTACTTGGTAAATACATACGAATGTGTGATCATGTGACTTGCCTTTCAGAATGAAATGTTTGCTTCTATAAATGTTCTCACTGACGATTATTTGTAGTAAAAACAGTTAATGACTGACATATTTATTAACCCTCTACCTTACCTTCTCTGATTGTTTCAAAAAGGTTTGATTCTACTTTCCACAAATATAATTTGTCTTTCTCCCTCCTTGTTTCATGTAGTGTCTAACGTTTAGAAGTATTTTTGTTTTCACTTTTAAGTTATTTTTCTCTTGTTTACTAATCTCTCTGAGTGTAAATGGCAACGCCTCTTACTTTTGAAAATTGCTACAAAGTTGTTCTTTGCCATGCGGAGAAAATAGAAACATGACCCAACGCATTTCTTCTTATAGAACTACCTCCGTGACACGGAAAAGAGTGAGCAGAAGATTCCATCCCAGAATCCCACTCCATCTGCACTGGATGGTAAAACAGCCACAGCCCATCACCTCCACCATCATGGATTTGAGGGCGTAACAGGTAGTCATGCACCTGTCATTTCCTGTGCATTCACTTCTGTTGGCTTCTGTTACTAAAACACTTAACAGTCACAGAAAATGCTACTCCCTGTTTAAAGCGGGGTGCTTTATGGTGGAGATTTGTAAAGCAGCCCATGAATGACTGTAACAGCACAGAGTTAGTTGCTGAGAGAAAATCTGTCAAAAAGGTCCACGTGGAAATGGAGAGGTTCTGACAGTGGCGGCAATCACCCCATGCTGCGCTCTGCTTTCCCCTGCCCTGCTCCCCCAGCTGAGATCAGGCCCCATTGCCTGAAAGTTCTTGCTTCTTCTGTTTTTTTTTTTTCTATGATTTGTTCCTTCAAGTAATTTGTATCAAGAACTAGTATGTGCCAAGCACTATTAGAAACATAATGATAAAATAAATATTTTCTTCCTTCAAGTAGCTCATATAGTAAAGGAAAGAGGCCAGGGAGCAAAATATTAAAGTTTAGTGTCATGTGATAAATACTGTACACAGTGTCATGGAAGCCGTTAGCTTAGAGGGACGGAGTAAGGAAGAAAGGATGTGGGAAACCTTTCCAGGGGATGCCCATTGATGCAGCCACTATGGACAACAACATGGAGTTTCCTCAAATAATCAAAAATAGGACTATCGTGTGATCCAGCTACTCCACTCCAGGTGTATCTCTGAAAGAAATGAAATTACTGCCTCGGAGAGACACCTGCACCCCATGCTCACTGGCTGTTCACAACAGCCAAGTCACGGGAACAACCCAAGTGTCCACCTATGGATGGATGGATAACGAAAATGCGGATGGATAGTTAAAGAAATACATCCATGATAAACAAAAATGGATAAAGTTCAGCCATAAAAAAGGGAAAAAAATAAAAGAAGGAAACCTTGTCCTTTGTAACAACATGGACAAACCATGAGGGCATTATGTTAAGCAAAATAAGTCAGACAGGGAGAAATGACAAACACTCTATGATCTTACTTTTATGGGGAATCCATTAAAGCCAAACTCACAGAAACAGAAAGTAGATTGGTGGTTCCCAGGGGCTGGTGGGTAAGGGAACTGGGGAGATGTCGGTTAAAGGGTCCAAACTTCCAGTTATAAGCTGAGTGACTTTCGGGGAGCCAGTGCACAGCCTGGTGACTGGAGTTAGCAGCACTACATTGCATTGCATTGCAAGTTCCTGTGAGAGTAAATCTTAAAAGATCTCATCACACACACACAAACTAAGTATGTGAGCTGATACATGTGTTAACTAACCTTATGGTGGTAATCACCTTGCAATATATGTGTGTATCAAGTCATCACGTTACACACCTTAAATTGACACAGTGTTATATGCCAATTATATTTCAAAAACAGTTGGGGGAAAAGGAAAGGAAAAACCTTTCCAAAGGAAGTCATCCTTGAGCTATCCTGCAAGGGAAGAAAAAAACCACTTTTATGGGCAGAAGAAGAGAGAAAGTTCCAGAAAATAAGATGCAACAGAGTATAGGCAGAACGTAGCTGGACAGAGTATCAGCAGAAAATGTTGTTACATTTAATATTAGATGTAGAGACATTATCAAATTTTCACTTTAGAAAGATCATGCTTTGTCAATTAAAAGCAAAACAAACAGGAACAATATTTAGTTATCCAGTGTCAACACACTCAAAGCCTTCTGGGAAGTAGATTCCAGTTCCATGCACAGGTCTTCTGGGGGGAGCATGGCGTCTCTGTGAGCATTGGTTACAGAGGCCACGGAGGATCTCTTCATGGACTTGCTATCCCAGAAAATATGCACGAGCCTAGAGATGCTTAGGACTGAGAGACGTGTTAGCAAAATCATCCACATTAACTTTTGATATTGGCCCCTGGAGTTATTTCCTGTTTTGTTTTGTTTTGTTTTTTGTCATCAAAACGATGGTAAACAACGCACTCACATTTAAGTTCTGTGCCATGGGCACTGATTCCTTATTCTCTGAGTGCTTATAGTCAATTCAGCAGAGGTGACGCCATCTGACGAGAACCGTTGCCATCCTGTCACTATGGATCCTGACCACAGGCTTTTCCAGCAGGGACCTTCCCCTTTAAGGCACGCCCGGACGGCACTGCAGACGACTGGGGGCACAGCTCAAGGTCACCTAACATGACGCCTAAATAACTCAACACGAGTGAAGGGGCAGGAAATGTGGCAGAAATGGCTATATTTAAGCTGTTGTAATCTACCCCGCCTATTTAATCCACTCCAATCCTTGATGAATTCCACAAGCTGACAGAACAGAGCATCAAAAGTAAGTCTGGTGATTCTCCTGAGTGACTGACAGCTGTGGCTGCACATGGCCCGTATACATGATCTGGGCATCTGCTTTCCTGAAGTAATGACTAGCTCTGCGGCATTGCCAGAAATCTCTGCCAGCAGGTATGCGACGTGCAATTCTGCATCAGCGCCTAAGACACTGCGACGAGTGTCCGCAGTCCTGGCTGGCTGAAAGGTCGCAGTGGTTTACTGAGGTCTCTAAGGCCGTGATGGGCACAGAACCTCTGCTTTGAACACTGGTTTCAGAATATATAAGTAGAAAATTCACACACAAAGGAATGAAATGATAAATAAACACATAAAGGTCCCTTCTCACTAGCAATTAAAAGAATGTATATTAGAACCAAGTGTATAGCCTAACTGAGCCGGTACTAAGTAGACTGTATTTGTCTCTCTATAAGGCGGATGTTTTTGTATGCTTTTCATTCACTGATGTATCCCAAACTCCTGGAAGACTGCCTGGCACAAATTTTTGGTGAATGACTGCATGAATGGCCATACTCGTATTTACCACCCTGTGGTAATGCCAGAACATTCGCACACTGCTTGAAGCATTGTAAATTGAAGCGATTATTTTAGAAATGGATCAGGACAAAGTAAAATTATCTTCATTATGATCTAGCGAACTCTGTCCCCTGGAAATCTGTTTTACAGAAGCACAAGACCTTTATGAAGCTGTTAATCCTAGAAGCACTCATTAGAGCAAAATCTTGTTAGAAAGTTACATGTTTGACTCCATGGGAGTGTTCGAATAAATTGTGGTTTATCAATTAAGTAAAATAAAACGGAGATGGAAAAAATTATCATCAACACTGGAGAACAAGAAAGTATGCACTCTTTGGTTATGATGTAATATTTATGCATATGCATAAACAATGGAAATGTAAAAATGGAAATTTTAGTGAGGGTATTTTTGTCAAAAAAACTTTATTTTTTAAGTAACATTGTCTTTCACTATTTTACATTATTTTTTTAAAGAGATGAATGGAGCAATTGCTATCCTTCTGATTTCAAAGTTTATGCGTCACATTCAAAATTTTTAGTTTCCTTCTAACTGGTGGGGGTAGAAGGAAGCAGGGGCTTCATCCAGAATATGGCCACAATCTTGAGTAGTAAAACAATGAAGTCTATTTGGTCAAGGTCAGAGATGAGAATTATAGTGTTGGCATTATTTGGAGACCAACACAGGCATTTTATCACAAGCTTTGAAATGCAAATGTCAGACTGGGGCTGAAAGTATATAAGTGGCAGATGTCATTGAATATCGGATGACTTAATCAGTCTTGGACATGTTGTTAATCAATATTGATACGATGGTTGGATATTATGTATAGCCAAACACAAAAGGTATTAATGTCTTTGAAAAATTAATGCCTTCTATTTTAGAGGCACCAAAAGTGAGGGAAAGTGTCTTCAATAATACAACATGTCTTACAAAAAACCTGAACAACCTTTCATAAAATAGAATGCCACTTAATATAAATGAGGAAAGAATTTCATGTGGCAGACTTAGGAAGGAGACATTCTGCATATTGGCTGCGACCTGAGGATCAGCATTTTGCAATGAAGAGAAAGGCTGAACAGGCCATGAGTGTGCACGGCTCCAACTGCCCTTTATCAGATGAGAGCATTTCAGGACTCTGGGGACTATTTCCTCTCTTGTTAATCCACACAAACGCTGAGCTTTAATTGGGAACTCATTCTTAAATCTGTTTGGACTTTTGAGCCCTCCAATTTTGACATTTGCCAAATGGAAAGTTCTAGCAATAGAATAACTGTCAGCTAATGAACCTTGACTCACCCAGGCGTGTAGCATAGTTGTGTGACTACAGTCACATGGTGGAAATAAAAACTGGAGGCTGACTGGGTGGTAGCCACAGCCCCTGACTCAGGCTTACTCTGTTCATTATGAGGAATGCCCCTGGATTCATTTTTGGGAGGAATGCCCCTGGGTGCCAGGATTCCTTTAAATATGATATGGTTACTTCATGGGTTACTAAAAAAGGAAAAGTAGTATTCATTCTTACTCTTTAATATGTGACTGTGACAAATTCAAAAAATGGGAGTAATAAAGAAGATATTAATAAGCTCATCATCTTATCCTCCTACTGGTAATCCTCCTTTGCATCCAGCGTTCAACTAGGACTGTGCGTTCTTGCATTTCACTCCCAGGTATTAGGCTTTGAGGGAGCTTAATTACCTTGGAGTTTGAGGTGTTAACGGAGACTAAAGATATAAATGTTCTCCCTCCAACTGTAAGGTCTAAACCATATGCTCTGCTTTAATTTGGTAACAAAAGAAATGAAACGAGATTTTCCATTTACTTCTTTTCTCATTTAAATGACTGTTACGCGACTCTTCCTCTAGATTATCCTGCAAGCCCTCCTCTCTGACTTCTTAACTTTGCATGATTATGAGGTGGATTGCAACAAAGTGCTTAATTTCTCTTCATCACCATTTTCTTTTGAAGCAAGGGTCATCGTAAAATTGTGTACCAGTCGTTGTATGTATTCATGTGAAAACATATGTAAATTCTTGAAAATGAATTCCAAAGGTCTTCATTTGGGATGAGATACCATATTATTCTTATGAAATCACACCAAAATGGCATTGGTGGTGAGTAAAAAAGAAAAAAAAAGAAAGAAAAATCAGGCTTCATCAATCCTGGTAATTTATTAATGTATGTAACTGAAGGCCCAGAAGGATAAACGTTAGGCATGATTTGGGCAAGGCTCCCACTCCAATTGCTTCTCTAGGCTCTGAACTTCTCCATATGGCAGCTTTCTGCTCCGGGCAGCTTCCCACAGGGAAGGATGTAGTATGTCTGCCTCATTCCCATCCAGGGCGGGAGAGGCATCTCCTCCTGCGGTCCTCGGTATGAAGCTCTGAGTTCAAGTCCGGATGGCTCCTTCTCCGTGACATGCGCCCTTCTGATGCGACCCCTGGGGGTCACCATATCATTGTAAGGACTGGCTTGGTCTGGAAAAGGATCACTGTGCAGAGGGTTAAGGGATCGCTCTGATTGCCTTAAAACAATCAGGGCTCTGCCCTGGGGTGGGAGGCAGGATGATGGGACTCGTACCACACGGTAGCTCCACGATAAAGGTGTAGGGGCTGCAAACAGATCGCCATTGTAACTTGCTATTTCACATTAAGTCAACAGAGCAAAAAGAGTAATTAAATATGAAATCTGCTAAAACAAGACATTCTGCTGATATTAACAGATGAGAGACTAAACAATGAGTCATCCGTGTTCTTGCTCTGCTGTCCTATTAAGACAAACATCTCAGTCAAATTCTATTAACTGAAAGCAAACCGAGATATTTTCTATCATTCTTTTCCTGCTACCTGTCAAATATGGAAATTCATATCTCCTGGATCACAATAAATAGCTCAGACATACTTCAGTAAATTCTGAAACACTTGCTTTTTTGGCATGAATACTCCCATTCATGGGGGAGAGGACTGTTGAGGCCTTAAGTCTCTCCACACCCTCCCACAGCCTTCCTGCAGCCCCTGAAATGGATGCCACTGTAAGTCAAAGTCATGCACTGTCTAGGCAAACACGGCAGCAAGATAAATCCCTCAGTCCCTGCCTTCAAAAAAGGTCACTGTCCTCAGCATCCCTGACATAGAAAGTCTGGAATTTGAAGGCTACGGGACACGTATAAACCTTTAAAGGCATAAACCTTTAAAGAGAAGGCCAAGAAGCAGGCCCAGATCAAGAGACAATCACAGTCCCAGAGACAGATAAGGATTCTCATCTTGAAAAGAGAAAAAAAGAGCATCATGAGGAGAAGAGATGGAGGAACTCGGTGTCCTACAGTCGATACACATGGGTACAGACTTTACATAAAGATGATTTCTGAAAAGTAAAGGTTATGTCTCACTTACCTATCTTAGGCATTCTTATTGCACTTAGGAATCTTAATTTATATTATAAAAGGGTATCTAATAACTCAAATGTCTTTAGACGACACAAGCGTGTAGATACAAATGGGACACAGCAACATTAGCACTGAGATGGGACTAGGGCTCTGCTGTGTTTGCTACGAGAAGTCAGTCTAAGTCCTCCCTGGATTTAACGAGAAGTCCCCAGGACAGTTCCTGGCATGCCCTCCTCCTCCTTCCAACGCACTGGCATCTCTCACCGCAGAGCCCCACCAGGATAAAGTGGCCAGCAGCCTTGGGGAGGGCATCACCCTTCCCGGAGTATAACATGCTGGGGCTTCTGACCTTTCTGAAGGTCCACATGGGCCAACGTGCCCCCGCATTACACCCAGTCTTTCTTGAGTCAGACCTACATTGTGGAAAAGTTTGGTTTGATTGTTAAAACAGAGCTCTGGATTCAAACGGCCTCAAGTTCAAATTCTAACTTTGTCACTTGTTCCTGTAAGAGCTGGCAGACTGCATACCCCCCCTGAGCCTCTGCTGTCTCGTCTATAAACTAATTGCAAGTGGTACTGATTAAATGAAAACTTACTATCAAAGTGTCTAGCACAGTGCCTTAGCGGGGGCTGCTAAATAGTTACCGACGCACTAAGAACCCAGGTAAGATGTGTCTTTGACTCTTGGGCCTGATACCACACCTGCTTCTTTATTTTCTCTTCTCACTGGTAGCTCCGTAAATCACCTCATGTATAATAATCTCTAGATTATTAATGTACAGCTTTCAAATGTCTTTGAATATATCATGCTTTCTGTTTTAGAGATTGACAGATAAACTTACTCTTAGAGATAAACTCTACAGTTTAAAATGTATCACTTTAAGTTTAAATTGAAGTTGAAAACCACGGATAGAAAAATCTAGGTTATTTAAAATATCTTAGTGAGACAAACCCCAGAGTAATGATCATCTCTGCTCGTTACACCACAGCGTGTGGGACCCGGAGCAAGTTATTCACACTGTTAAGCTGAGCCTCAGCTGCCTTATCTACAAAATGGGTAACAAGGTTCCCTACTCAGGTTCAGATAAGTACATGGTTGAGACTACTTGGCATACAGTAAGTGTTAGGTAAGTGTGAGCTACTGTTACCATCTAAATACCATAACTATAGGTAAATGAGTGTCTCCAGTAATATTATCTATTGTCTAATGAGTCAGTGGCCTGATTATATCTGGGGAGATACAAGAACTTCAAAAGAAAACCCCTATTGTTGTCTGTCCCATGTCTCCTTAGAAACACACTGTTGCTCATAATTTGATCCTGTCATTGAAGGAGAAAAAAACAGAGCACCCTGCCTCAGCAGCTTGGAAGATGGGTACCCACCTCATGCCCAGCGCCCCGGGGTGAGCACCATGCCAGGGCCTGGAGGAGGACGCTTCCCGGGGGATATGATGCCCATCTGCTGCCTGTGGTTGCTGGAGAGATGGGGAAAAAATGAAGACCAACTCAAAATATATGTTATAACAATAGAGGGCTGTGTTGCATAAATCAAATTAAAATGTTCAGGAGTCCACTGAGTTGGCTTAAGACACCCTTTCTGCATTACCAATGGGATAAAAAGATTCCTTCTAGGTTTTTCTCAATAAAAAAAGTATTCCAGTCAAAACTCCTTTTAGGTAACCAAGTGGTACTACTTAGTAGTCTATTAAATAATACTAATTGAATCATCACGAAAATTATTTTTAAAAAAGGACAAATATAAAAGCTGCCAAACAGAGAACCAAGCACCCTACGAGAGCTCCAGTTTTATCTGATGCTGATGCTGCCGATAACCGGACTCTGCCCCATTCAAAATCAGTTTTGCATGGCAGCTGCTTCATTGGATGTTTTTTTTGTGGTGATAATGTGACTTGATTCTGGAATACATGGCAAACATCATGGTACAAGAGGTCAGACTAAGTTTCAACTTTTGTTTTGGAAAGAGTCAAGAGAGGATCAGAAAGAATATCTTCATGTCCTATTTTTTGTGGGTACACTTGAGTTTATTTTCAAAAATCCATGGAAACCTTTCTTGGAAAAACCTAGTCAACAAGTTCAACAAGTCTTAAAAACATATTCAGGGCCTGGAAGACTTCTTTTTACAAATCTATGTGAGCCTTACGTATACTATAAATAAGACCATATTGAGGTTAAATGAATTTGTGTGTTTATATTTAACTGAGAGTTGAAACTGACCAATAAAACCCATTAAAATATTATTTTGGCAGCTTGATTCAAATTGAGCTCATGATAAACCGGCAAAAGCAGATGTTGTTGGTCGCAGGTCACTTGAAGTAGTCAAATGTCTGTTTTAAGTAGTGCCTACTGAATCAAAGGTAATTTTTCTCAGCCTTAGACAAAAGACACTTCCTCTGCACACTCTGAACGCTTCCACGGCAGATGGAGAAGCTGTGATGCAAACAAAAATATCTTCTTTCTTTTCATCCTTTAATAGCATCTGGTCATGACCTCTAAGGAAAACTTCATAGAATTTGCTTTTCTTATCTCCGGCTCTCTCTTCCTTTGCTGGCATGTCTTGGTTTTTGTTTCTATTTTCCTTTCCAGCTCATACAGAGCCCCCCCAGTGAGCCCAGTAGGATCCTGCTCCCAAATGCTCTCATTTCAGAGCCCGGCACTGCCATGTGCTTGTTTTCCATAGTGACCAACTACCCCACTGACTCAGGGGTCTCCAACCAGTCCCAGGAGAAACTACCCAGAGTCAGTGATCAGAGTCAGGAGTGGAACCACTCTGACGTGCCTCCGGCTCATTTCCCATCATCCTCCGAAGGTCATGTTAAAGAAAGCACCTGCTGAGCTAATGAAGAATACCTTGGCAATTCCAGCTAATTTATACTGGCTGATTCCATTACTGCATCCGTGATTTCCAAGCTACGGGCTTCATTCCCATAGAGGTCTTTTATTTTGCTGTCTTTAGTAACAATTAAATATCGCAATCCCAAAAGGTGTGTAAACAAAAGTATTCACAGAAGCATTGCTTCCAGTAGAAAAAAAAAAAAAACGAAGTCTTGTTTTCTAATAAAGAATATTTAAATTAAAATACATAATTGCTATGGAATATATATATTATGTATACTGTGTTATATGTAAGTAAAATATATAGTTTTGGTATGTGTGATATTGTCATTGAAATATTTAGATAAAATTTT